AAAAAAATGTAAAGCTTATGTATTTGAGCTATAGCTTAGTTGGCCATTACAGACGTGAGTCGTACTTAACCGCGTTGAGTATCCTCCGCCAGTCAGCCCGATTAGTAGTTTGCTGTCGCCAGTTGGTGATACCGAGTGCCCCCAAATCGTTGATCACCTGGTCCTTCCACCGAAGATGCGCTTAACTATGTCAATGTCGCGGTATAGATAATACAGTTAATCATTCAAGAATTTTTCTCTTGAATGCTCCTAACGCCTTTTCATCACTGGTAATTGTCCAAGCTTCTGCACCATACAGCAGGACAGGTATGATAATTGCTGGCAGTTCATCTTAATCGATACTGTAACCTTAGCTAGTTAGATCCACCTGAAGAGATAGAATATGGTAGCTCTAAAGCGCTTTCCACAAAATTTCTACACGATTAATACTTATTTGGATCAAGTTCTTGGATTAACTGAATTTGACTTGAAAAATTGTGAAAGTAAATAAAACAAAATGATATAATTAATAAATAATTTTAATTGAAATTAATTAGAATAATAATACGCATTTAATTAAGTAAAAAACATTATTTAATAATTAAAATTTTTTTAATTAAAGTGTTAGAAAAAAATGCCAATCCAAACTACTTCACATTACAATAAAATATTTATTATATACTAAAACCTATAAGTCATTGTCGTATTCTTTGTTTGTTCAATTCAAAATATACTAAAACCTACAAATGGAGTACATAACCAATGAAGGACACTCTTTAAAACTTCAGTACACCATACTGTGGTCCATTGTACTTACAAAAATACTACACAGAAGTACTAATCACAAATTCTGAAAATTTTTTTTTGCCATTGTAGATTGTGCTTTGGTCTCGCAATGAATTCCAAATTGTCGATGAACTGCCGGCCCCATGAGAAGATGATGAAATGGAACCAAGTCTCATGTAAAAGAGTTTTCACAGATGAAATTTTATTATTTATTTAGAAAATTAAATAAAATGTTGCTGAAACTTATTTGTGTACATGGATTGCATACATAAGTAGATGTCCTGCGAAAAGTTACTCTTAATGAAGTTAAGGTAAAGTGTGAATAATTTCATTTGCTAATGTTTATTAAATTTATTTGATTAGTAAAGCAAACAGAGTGAAATTATATGGTGGTTGAAGAGTTTCATGTAGATTAATAATTTACTTATATAAATAATATATATTTTTAACAAAGTACATGTTTATGCACATCAATGTAATATCAAAATATTATTAAAAGGACAATTTTGGATTGCAGCAAGAAAATAATTGAAAAGTCTATGCAGGTAAAAATAGTACTTCATTAGTACACACACATTAGTATTTTAAGACTATATACAAGGTTTAAATAAAATTATACTTTCAGTATGAAGATAGATTATTGCGAAAAGCTTATATCTTTCAAAATTCCAGCTTCTTAAACACGATTTTAAATATTTGTTCTAAAAATGATATTTAAAAATATTTGAGAATAAAATATTATATTATATATTATTATTATTATGTTGAAGCTCTTTGAGCACTTGTGCACTTGAGCACTTTTACTCTTCCTTAACTCGAGGTATTTTCAAAACCCCTCTATACGTCATGACTGGATTATTGTTTATCACTTCATCAGACTAAGCTTCTTTGTCACTATACAAACTAAGTCTAGCTTTACAGCAACACTAATACTTTATTCAAACATCAGACTAAGCAATAACTGACCTCAGATCTGCATACCTCCCCGAGGAGCCTGTAATGATTCTGAGATTTGATAACGCGGTGTTGGTAAGTCTGTCAGTTTTTGCAAATAATTTCAGGGCTCTATCCTTTATGTATTTTTAGATTGGATTATTCTTGAGGTCCCTGAGGATGTCATTCGTCCTAATGTACCATGGTACTTTCAAAAGTCTTCTCAGAGCGTGACTTTGTGCAATTTCTAGCTGACGAATAGTCGTGTTTGAAGCTTTGCTGAACGCTACACAACCATATAGGTAGAAGTGATGGATGAATTATTTGGTTATATATCAGCTATCCTGTACTTAGCATTGAGATTTTCATTTCTGTATGTATTATATATTATAAATATATAAATTCATTGAAACTATATGAATATTTGGATAGTAATGACAGTACATCATTAAAAACGAGCGTATTTTAAGTAAAATTTTTTTATACTATGTTTGTTTCAAAAGTGTGGTTATGAAAGTAGTCAAGTGTGGACTATGAAAGTAACTTGATATTTTTAGAGAAACGTTAATACTTGCTTGCTGTTAAAGTCTGATGTGGTAAGAAACAAATGGTTCAAATTATTTTTTGAAGATGTGGTTAACCTAAAGTTCAGCTTCAAGCACTTCAGTCTATAGCTCTCTATTTGTCCAATTGCTCTTTAAGCATGGTTCACATGAGTTTCTATTAAATCTATCATTTAAAAGAATTTAAAAGTGTGTTTTTTAAATCTAGTACCACAATTTAATGATATTAAGCGACTAACACGGTATAGTTAAAAAAATCTAAATCGTTGCTTTAATGTAGTGAAAGTGCTATAAAGAATCTTTTGAATACTAGTATACAACAGTATGAAATCAATGCCACTGACTTTGTATATTGGGAAACCTATTTGTATCGGGTTTTATTAGCTAAGAATAAACATGAAATAAGATTTATGGTTCGTTAAGTAGGATTACTTCCTGACTAGATGATTCAAATCTTCTTTGAATATTGTTGGAAAAGTATTGCAACTTTTTTTCCCAACTATTGTAATTTAAATAACAGAAAGTCACTATTTAATTTGTGAAATATAAATTTCATATCAAGAAAATAGAATATAAATAATAACAATAAATCTAAGTAAACTACAAACGAATGTAGTTCATTAGGCTGTGATATATCATATCCTTTAGGGATGACACATGAAATATGCAAATCTCTGTTCCTGAAAGATGAAATTTATTATGCAGATTATTATATACCCTTTTAAATGATATAATTAAATAATTTCTAAGTTAATTGCAAAAAAGAAAGCAGTAAATCTTTTTGAATAATCATATGACGTCCACGGAAATCGCTAGACTCCATACACTGCGCAATTATTTCAGTAGACCGAAGGAGTGTCAACAACATTTGCGTTTAATAATTATGCTTTGTTGGACTATCTGTTATTGTGGTCCATTATATAAAACAGTACCATACAGAATCCTGTAAATATGCCATCACACGTTTTCGTACCCATTAAGGTGACAATGGAAATTTAATTTATTTAGTTGGCGTAAATCTAAAACTCGTGTGAGTTTTTTATCCCTATAATAAATATATATATATTAGTATATATTTGCCAATACATATATATATGTACTGATATTATACTTCAATATTAAAAATGTTTAAATAAATATATTTTTTTATTGAGAATATTTATTATGTGTTTTTGGTTCAACATAAAAAAGTCTCCTATGATTGTTTGTAATAATTACTTCCTGTATTATCCTTTGGGCCTAAATGTGCTATTTAATTAAGCAATTTAAATTGTATTTCCATGTTGTGCTCCATGTACTACATAAACCATAATCAATGTTGTGCATATGTTTTATTGATGAATTACAATTTGCCCACAGGATAAAATTGTTATTGAAGTGAATTTGTTACGATGACGAGAATTCGTTTATGTGGAAATGTCGTGATATTTCAACAACCATAAAACCATAAGTGAGTTAAGTACTCACGACTGACACTTAAGACATATAAGGATATGAAATAGACAATACTTATAACTATGGGTAATAAGGAGTCATGTATGCTAATTTTTTCGAATTGAGTTCTTGTCGGTGTTAATGAAGATACGAAATTAACATTTATGAATTAAATAAATTCATTAATTAAATTAATGAAGATGTGATTTATTAATTTAATTATTCTACAGCTGGTTTATGATTTCATTCTAATGTAATAGAGTTTCAACAAAATATTTACGACTAATAATATAATAAGAATGAACGGGGTACTAGCTCCCTCTTGAGCAGAGCACTGCGACTATGATTGATCTTTTGTGCTACAACAGAACCTAACCGAACAGAAGACATTCCGAATAAAGGCTAAAATGTCGGTCATTGAGGACCTCCTAATGTCGGAAGGTGAGAGCAGTTCTCGAACCAGTGACCTCCTCCTGGCTCAGATCAAAGCTGTGCAGTTCACATAGAATGTGACTAGATATTTCCTCTGCTTCTAAGCAGAGTCTATACTCTATCTCTTCGGAGGTGGAGGTATCTCCATTTTGTTGAGGTGGTAACGTAGTCAATGGTGACCCGTTAGATATCCCACTACGACTAATTAAATGCCTGAAATATTTCCAAGACCACTAATGATGGGTATTTGGCAATACTTGAAATAATTGTATGATCAGCCAAAAGTTCTATTAATTAAAATAATATAAAATGATTGGATATCGTTACGTACTGAAACGTTCACCATCAGTAAGGTGATTCGGTCAATTATATTTAACTAACATATTTCTTTTTTACTATTAATATTGCTTAAAGTCTGTTATATATGCAGATTCTCATTAAGGTCATTAAACTGGTAAAAAAAAAATGTTTCAAAAACGAAGAGTGGAGAAAATGATTCAGTAAAAATAAAGTAAAAGATTAGTAAAAGAATTCATAGAACGGAAAGAAGATTGAGGGGAGTGGAAGTAATAGATACAAAGATAGTTAGAAAATCATGAAAAAAGGTGAGTGAGACAGTGACAAAGATAAAAAGAGAGCGAATGATGGTAAAAGGACCGATATAAAGATAGTAACAAAAATAAGATAAAGACAAAAAGAGCGCTATAGAAAGAGAGTGAGTTAAACAAAAAGAA